CGTCGCTCGTTCCCATATCATGATCTCCCTAGCTTCCTCGCTCTAATCTGCCAGGAAAACTGGTATAGTTGCGATGCTCAACTTCCAATGGCGTCAAGACCAGAACACCATCGAGCTACTTGGTCATGGTCGATGCGTGCTTCAATGACACCTTCATGATGCTTGTAACACAATGTCGATGATATCGTGACCGAGATAGCTGACATGTATCATGCTGCATGTCGCCCATATCGCTTGCAGGATGGAGAGGATGAACATATACCCATCAATCGGCGTGGTGAAGGTGCGGTCGCCAGGTCCGCAGAGACAAGCTATGCTGGTAGCTTTGAGCTTCGGCTGTTACGATGGGGCTCGCTTGATTGAGGGTCTCGCCCTGAATCACTCACTTAATTTCGAGTTACAAACTATCAAGACGACCCAGTGATTTTCGGCGCGAGACCACCATACACATAGCTGTCGATTAACGCGAGCAGAAAATACTGAGGCTTTATTGTTTCTCTATCTCCCACACGCAACGGTATACGAAGTCCAGAAAAAGTCACAATGCATCATGCCATTTCCGTGTCTCTATACCACCAGGCAAAATCATCATGGCAGGGCCTAGCACAAGACCATTTTCTCATGATTAATCTCGATGCATCTCTGATAATGTGATCAGTCTTTCAAGAAACCTTCGTCATGCTCAATACGCTTGACTGGACTGCTAGCCAATGGCGCTGTTGCTACAATTGCACTTTGGTGCTCCCACAAACTGTCACACTACCGGCTCTTCGCGGAAGACTTTACTCAATATACTCATGGTTTGGATTAACCAAGAGATCCATAGTGAGTCCAGTTTAGGCTTGCTGCCAGATACGCTATTGATATCGATAATTCATCTTTAGCACTCAGCGCCCATTAGTCACTCCAGTCAAATCGTCGAATACATGGGCTGACCTCCTATACGACTACACCCACGAATTGTCTAATTGTGCAGTGTGAGAGACTACCCGACAGCATAACTTGCCTGTCGATACTAAGAAGTAAGGACAATTGATTCTGGAAGGCTTCAGTCTATGATGCTGGATACATCCTCGTGCATACATCGTTTCCCATAGGCCTCTTCAGATAAGCCTGTGTCACTCGTTCTATGCTTGGAAAAGCATCCGACCCAACTAGGTCATTATCGTCTCATGGCTTGAGAAATGTGTCTTTGAGAAACCTCCCCGACCATCGTCCAATGTCATCAAAGCCATCATGGATATACGGGACTGTACATACCGTCAGAATGCGCCGAAATGTTCCTGGTTGCGACCAGAAAGAAAAGCCATTCCCGAAGAGCTTGTTGTCGTACAAGGCTAGTTGTTGCCGAAACAGACACGGACTATCACGATACTCTGTGGAGGAACTGGTATCTGGTTCTGCTTCCAGGGCACATAAGTACTATGAAGTGCGTTTGTCAAATAAAATGAAGCTTTCTTCAACATCAATGAATCAACTGCCGCTGACTTAGCAGTGGATATCTCCAGGAGCACATCCTGACGTCAGCATGAATGGGTAGGGCTCAACGTTCCCGTTAGTTTCGATATGCGCGCTCCTTCAATCGGTGGTTCTATCTCGTGATTAATTGTGTTTCTTGTTCTTCTGATATAGTCAGAATCCTGCGTCATGACTTCCATTCCAACTCAGGAGCCACGAGTCTGGAGATGCCACACTTTAGTTGGATGTCTCCTAACTAAGTTGGGCTTACGCGCGTCAATATGTACCCAATGATGCTACAGGTACTGACGAGAGAGATTGGGTCCGATCTGGCAAGTGCCGCTGTATCCACTCAGTTGGATCTCGAAGATGTCTAAGAGGCATTTCGAGAGACGAAACACCGAGGACAATAACAGTGCCAAGTTGAGAGATTGACGCCAAATCAAGACAAGCGACGCTAGAAAGATCAGAAACGAGTCAAGTTACACACCGCACACTATTTCAGGTATGTACAGAGATACTCCAGGTCCAAGAACAGTCAGGCCTGCGTTCATCCAAGGCAAGACGTTGCGCAGCACATGCAACCAACAACACTGAAACCTTCTTATCCCAATATTTCTAGTTCTTGTGCCAACAGCCATATCCGAGACAAGAGATTTGTTTTCAACCTGCCATATCCTTCGTCTCAATCTTCCACGTCATCCTCTCCAGTGCATACTGCATCTTGATCTGGACGGCGTCTGGCCTTGACGCATTTAGGCTGGTGGGGGAGTATATGATCTCCCTGAGACGGCGTCTTTCGATGCCTACATCTGCGGGCGAACGAAGGAACGGAAATATACAGCATTATAATACTAAGAAGCTGGTTCGGCCAAGCAACTCAATGGAGCTGCTTTCACTCGTCCGACAAGAAAGGTACAGAACAGTGCGCTGCCTACTGTGAACGGGCGCTTTATCTGCTCCTCTGCCAGCGTTTTCTCTATGCCGTCTCCTTTTATATCCTTGTTCGTCTGACTTCAAACAATACTGCTGGCTTCGTGAATCGCACATTGTTTACGACCATCGAAGCTCGTCCTCACTGCTGCTTTTCCTCGACTGGTATATCTCTGGTTGATGCTCCCTCATGCTACGCTTGTCAGGCAACCCCGTGTTGATCAAATGAGATATCAATTTACGAACTTTCCAACAAGCTGCGCAAAATTCTAACTCCTGGATATAATACACGCAGCGACGACGCGGATACGCATTTCTCCAAGACATCCCGTTCATTACCGAAGGAGCAAACAGACGTGGGAGCAGATTCTCGCTTTCCATGTGACGGACAAGAAGACAGACACTCCATAATTCACGTTCATGTATGCGGGGATTTGCAATCTTGGAAAATCGAAAGATGACATCGATCAAATTTTGACGCTGAAGACCACAATCATAGGCATTCGACGTCTGAAGATTTTTCAGCAACACACAAGAGGCACCGTACCCGAAAGTCTATACAGCTAGGAATGTTTTTTGGATGTGAGGAAATCACCAGAATGCACCGCTATGTACCGCTGATGGGAGTCATCCATATATATTATGTCTGTCCGCCAAACAGTTCGTTAACAGTTGATACTGCTACATGCAAAGGCGTATTTGAGGAGTCGGGGACATGATGTCAGTCCTGACCAGCAGATGAAAGCGAAGCTGGCCAGATGCAACCGGTCATACAGGAAACAGATGGAGATGGATGGATCTTATTTCCTCGTGACTCACTCCAGACAAGAATGGCTAGAATACTTCCGGTCTTGCGGAGGAAAGTTTCGACAGGCATAGGCGATTAAAATTGACGAGACTGTGATTTTCTCCATGGGCCTTTGAAGATGATGACGTTGCATCGGTCCACTGACAATCACAACCTACTTCATCAATCTGCCTATGCTAGTAAGAGACATTACCATATCCACAACTTCCACCATTACTCCAGAAGTATGGTGGCCGGCTACTGGCAGTCATAGGCCAACTAGGTCATGAGTTAGTGGAGATACTTCAAATGATACTTGTCCTTGTCGACCTATGCAGCCTAGGAAAGCTGCTATTGGTGGACACAGCTCTCAAATGGCAGCGAACTTCCAGATTGGGTGTGCTTTGTGACTTTTGGCTTTCTTCTTACCAGTTATCATGCTTCATAGGAGTCTCATGAGATCAGGGCTTGCCGATGTTAAACCCGACATCATTGCTAATCGCTGAGCAAACACTTAGTCCATCATTGAACAACGGATTTTCCTGGGTGGATTGATGCTTTTCAATTCACTCGCAATGACAAGTCTTGCGTCAGCGGGTCTTCACGACACCTGCTTTTGTTCAGGGTGTGTGGTAGTCGCTAACGACCATGGATGGTGTGTTGGCGATTGTACTATATCATATTTCCCGGGAACCCGTTCGAATACATTCATATCCCCACATTATTATTGCTTATACTACAAATTGAGCAAGAAATGATGGAGCCATAACTGCGATAACAAAAGGCTGGTCATGGGAAGATCCAGCGGTTCAGAGTGCTTTGTGTTGCCCGATTTCAGACATTGATCCTGAAACCCGTCGAACAAATGTTTCCGAAGAAGCGTGCTGAGACAATGACTTCGGTCTTATACTTTGTTAATCTCAACTGCGATTGACCCAGTATACCATGCGTCCATGAGGATGTTATATGAGGATGCCCAGGCTTCAATGCCGCCAAGTGATCATGTTGAGAAAAGTACACATTCTTCAAGTGGTCAACGTGACTGGGGTGGTTCACATCATCCTCACGGGGCAAACAGGTGAGCAGCGCTTGAGCGTCTTTGTCCTGGTTGGACGTTTCCTTCCTGGGGAATCCCAGGACATTCTACTCGCTCGTTCCCGTCCAGCTGCACGTTATGCAATTGCACACGTTCGGTCTTCGCACAATATTCCAAGCAGCTTTAAGAAGAAGGATCTTTTCAAATTGCGCCATGAGAGGTTACCAGTTCCTCGGGCAAAGTTCATGGAGTTATCACTATAGAACGATGACCTCCAAATCGCTAAGGTCCCCGAGATCAGACCTGAGGTTGATGACATAGGATGGACAAGGTCTCTTGCGCAAAGGATCGGGATGTTCGATACAGTCTTGATCGGCCATCACAATTCCAAAGCTGAACTAGGGGGCAAAGCACCCGACATATATGACGCTTTCGACGGTGGCATTGTCATTTGCTCTGCGTACTACGCTTGAATAACGGTATGAACGTCAGCCAATGTTTGACCTCATGGAGTGTTAGCTGCAGCACTACAATGAGTCAAGGCTTATGAGGTCTTTCTCAGTCATCCGGTGGTTCATCTCAATTATGCTCTTATTGATTGGCCTAAAGGAGAGAGAATACAGGGCATTGCATACGACCGAAAGTTCCAGCTCGTACGATGTCATCGCGCTTATGGTATACTAAGAACCTCGAATCTCATGATCTAGTTAACGAGAAGATCACAATGGCTGATTCATAAACACTAGTTGCTCACCAACTTTGAACGTGATGTGACGCCCATATCGAATGGACGCAATCAATACTCTACACAAAAGAGCCTATATCGAGAATGCCTTACTGTTTCATCCGGTCATTCTACGTCTCGTCTATAAAGAACTACCTGCCACGAACACCGCCGCCACCGCTCCGAGGCGATTACAACGCACTACAAAAGGGAAGAGTCCTTCGTGGCTAGGGAACGAGCAAGTGGCCGCTCTGGAGCAGGGATTCGACCTGTCTCCTTTGCCTACGCTCAAACAAAACGAAGTGATCGTGCCGAACACCTACAAAGAGGCTGTCTCGTCGCCGCTCGCTCCGTACTGGAGGGCAGCCATGACCACACAAGTCGAAAAGATCAAAATAACGAACACCTAAGTGGTGGTTGTCCGACCCGCCGGCGCTCGCGTAATCCCAGGGATTTTATATACTACGCTGTTCAAGAACCGGATTCTTATCAAAATGATGAGGATATACTCATAGCCTTGTTGTTCTGGATATACACTGCACATTACACTCATTTTGTGCTTTCTCGAAAGAAGCGCCGAGGCACGATATCCTCGTCTGAATGGTTTAATTAGAGACTTTCTCTGAAGCAGTGGACTTCGACACCGACCAGACTCTTCTCTCGTCGTCCAGGAACATTCGGAATTGTCACTAAAATAACTCGTTCGGCAGCTTCATATCATCGCTGAATCAACTTCTTCGAATGCTTCTTCTCTCCGGGAAGATCTCCTCATGACTCTATACTTCATGGCTTGTGCTTTGAATGCGCAACTGATTTGAGAAAGCCACGAACAAGGTAGCGAATTGCATTAGCAGTTGTTCTGGCTTACTATTGGTGGTGCTAGAAAGACGACTCTCAAGGGCAAAAAGTCAGGGAAGAACGCACGCAACTTTTGGGTTCTTTTCTACCAGAAACCCTGTCCGTCGTTTCTCTTAGACGCCTACTATACTTCGATTATGACGATGATGCTCTTTCTCCGAGGTTATACTACTAATGCTTCTTACATTCTGAGCTTAGAGCTGCTCTGTGGCGTGCAGAGATGAATGCCCAAGCCTCATCCGTCGTAGAAGGGTCGTCTCAATATGGAGTACTGGTTTCTAATTCCGATGACTCTAATGTCGCATGGGTGCGCTTTTTCTTTTTTTGCTGACGGTTGTTGGCTCCAGATACCAAGTCTCTCTTCTTCGTGCAGCGGTAGAGAGAAATGATCAGTGAATTCATGCAGAGCTTCTACCGGAATCTTCATCGCCTCATTGCAACTACCTTGAGGCTGTCGATGAGCATGGTAAGGTGGACACAATAACAGACTTTTTATCCAGCTTATAGATTCCGACATAGTCCACCTTCAAGGCCATGAAGCAACAAGAAACTCTCTGGACAATTTTGGCTTGTATGCTGGCTTCTGCATACCCAACAAGACGACTGGTACTGAGCTTTGAACATTGTCAAGATGAGCTGCTTGAGCAATGCGTATCGCCCAGACGTGAGTCAGTTCGTCCATTCTATGGCCACGACTCACTCGTCCGGCTGTACCTTGGTATCTGCCTGAAGGGCACCGGGTCTAAGGAATTGACTCAGACTGATCGAAGCACCAGCTTAGCTACGAATAACGGACCAACGACGTCATCTACCTTGCAACCATAACATCATTTTATGGTGTGGTTGATGGAGAGTGAATTTATATGAAAAGATATTGATAAAACCCCATGTTGCTTTATTGGTTAACACTGCATTTTAGAACAGACCTATCGCTAGTCGGCTGAAAAAGATGGGGCATGGGGTAACCACGCATTCCTCATTGTCATGCCACAAATTATGGGGCAATGGGCTAAAGGCTCACCTACCTACACCTTGGAAACAATCGCAGCAGAGCCGATCTATGTATCGAGCTAGTCAGCAACTTGTTGTGCTATGGATACAAAGTATCTCCTGCTTCAAGCCCGCTACTAGTGTCGTGTGGCCTTACTACCGCATCCCGACACACTGGAACTGACCTAGGTGTCAAGAACCCATGGAGCGATCATGTTCACAGCATCCCAAATACGAAATTCCAAATAACATTGTCAGATATCACGGGGCGTTTCTCTTACCCCGGAGTATAGTCGTTCAGCAGACTTGTTTCGCTGGGCTGTACTTGATGAAGCCGCTATTGCTCTCTCTTCGTGCAGCCTGTTATCTTCACATTAACCATCCATTTTTGCTCGTTTTCTCTGCTCTCAAAGTCTCTTCTACTCATCCCTTTCATTTGCCTGCGTCATGCCTCGCAATTGCCATCATCCAGTGACTCTTCCGGCATGAGTCACTGCCTTAGAGCGCTCTTCTTCCTTATCAATTGGGTGGAACACGTCCTCATGCTACTTATCTAGGCACACTAGCAGCATTACTTTCTCGGTAAATGAGAGCGATCTGAGGGGTTCGAGCATTGTCACTACATTTTCGGTCAGAGTCATCCAGCCGGATGCTGTTCATTGGCGAGTACTGTTTCCGGAATACCACAATTTCGAGATCTATCGCCCCGATCTCGAAGGTTCAACGCATTAGCGTTTCTTCGATGCATCGGTACTAAACTTCTGTTGCCGGCATCGAACCCGATCTCGACATCTACTCTCCATTCTTCGTGTTTTTCCTTATGTACATGTCGCCTTCTGCCCCAAAGAATACGAGGAGCAGCTCCATATACCCAAAACACTAATACGATCAAGACCCACATTTACAGGAACATCAACGCAAATGGCATGTCTCATACCGTCACCACTGTTCTTTTCAATGATAGACGGGTCTTCGAAGATTATATAGAATTGCTGCTTTCTTCAAACCAAAATCTGCACGGACCATCATGGCCTGTCAATACTGCAACAAAACAGAAGCATTCAGTGACCAGGAGTAGGCCAGGCTTAGTTCTCATATGTTCCCTGATAGGACAGTCATCGTCGGCCGCTGGAAATGGGAATTATAATCACAGATAGCATACTATTCTTGAGCCCAAAGCTGTTCCATTGGGGACATGGGTAAAGCTAAAAGTGCTCATCTGTGATGGGGCTGTTCAGGCTTCATGAACTCGAGAAATCCTACTCGCGAAACATATTCCACTATATCCAGCAACAATTGAAACTGACAATCAAACCCAGCATACATGACAAGTTCTTAAGGCAAAGACTATGGTGCAGAAAGTGATGGCTAAGACCTTCCATCATCGTTGCGTGGAGGTTACTGGCATAATGTTCTCATGAGTGGGACTGTCAACTCAAATAAAACTCGATCGTTCGGTTGGAGTTTTCTTCACTTAGAATGCTGGGCATGCTGCCCATTCTTCGCAATCAAGTTATCATTGAAGAAGAGGAACTGACTGGGTGGCGCATTTCCCAGGCGAGGAGGTATGCATCAACACACACTGAGAAGCCCGACTTGCAGACGCCATCATGTATTCTCTATATGGAGATACCATCGCATTTTCAGCGGATCCCACTCGAGATGTTCCAGTACTGATAAGTCTCAAAAGGTTCAAGCAAGCCGCGAACTAATGCCGGCAATTGAACCAGGCCTATACATAGTCGAACCTACACCTCTGTTCCTACTATCGCCGAACCGGTTCGTGAAGTTGATCAGAAAGGGACACTTGGAGGCACGCGCGGGGCACTATGTCCTTAAGGCGATCATGCCGCTTATCTGTCTCCGTCGCGACATGGGCGAACGCATGGACATAGACGACCAGAGGGTCTGTGAGATCGGCGGCGAGATCCCGCGAGCTGGGTCCGGTGGTTGTTTCCACGCCGTAAACAATTTTCTTCACGCAGTCTCCATCTCGTCCTTGTTCCGGCGTCTGCAGAATAACGGCACATTCAGGGGAATGTCGATTTTCCAGTACCGGATGGGAAGGCAGTTCGGCGACCTGATCAGTCCTTCTTTCTACAACCTAAAATGGACAATTACTTTTGGAAGTTCGCAACCGGGGATGGCCAAACCATCGCTGAAGCCACCATACAATCGAGAACTGCTTACGCCGATCGCAAAGCTAGACTCGAGCTCTCTAAGAAAACATCATTCGAGAGCTGGAAAGCAAACTGCGAGACAGGTTCAACGCCTTCTATACTACCGCGGCAGGAAGCAATTATCGGCATGCAGTACCGATCTTGCTCATGTTGGTGGACAGACGCATCACTGTTCGACAATACATGTGTCATTTTATTTCTTTGGGCTTGCCACTAGACTTTCTACCATTCAGTTCGTCATCGTGCTTCAGATTCGTGGGATTGAACTTTCCTTGTTCGGCCATGACTACAGTACACAAATTATGCTCATATACAAGGCGACTTGGAAGCAGCGACTGGAGATATATAAGATGCTAGTCCCGCATCCCTCGATCAGAACATCCATGCACTCCAGTGTAAACTATTTCCATCATGCGAATCCTGAGAACGAGCAGTAGGTGCTTTTAACAGTACCTACTATCGACCAAATGAGTCTGTATGGAAAGCTTATACACCAGCAGATGAACCGGGGCCGGAAGGATAGACACAGACAACCGTTATCCATAGGATCCCCGTCGCGCGGACATTCCGCGACGAGTGCCACCTTTCCTTTGGTAAAAGGAGTCCCATCATCCGTGTCCTCAAGAGGTTGAAGGAAAGCTGGCGACCCGCATATTGGTTCCTGTCTGCTACCCCCTGCCCCTCCTCCCCTTGCAATATTCAAGCGTTCATGAAGCTCACAAAGACGCCGGAGTGGACTGGCAACCCGGACACAGCATACCTAAATCATGAGTACCTTGCGGAGCTCGGGAGGCAGTTTAGAACAGCGTCTAACAGAGATCAGGTAAATATTCTTGATGCGACTCTGTGTAAGCTCTGTGACTTCTTCCAAGCAATCAATTTCATCAAACGCACTGCGGATACGGAGTGGTTCGGGCAACCATGCCTGGAACTCCCCCTGAAGATAATGTGTAGAGTCGAGAGCCTGTTCGCAGAGCCAGATTGCCAGTTACTGGCAGAGCTCCGGAATACACGCCTGCGGCAGTACAAGGAATATGAATCGGAAGGCACGAATAAAGTCTAATTAAAGCTTAAACTCGCGAGCATGACTGGTGCAGTTCGTGTCTGTGCCGCATTTCCTGGTCTCATCCGATATACAAAGCAGAAACATATTGCCCTTGAGAATATCATGACAACTGTGCCATGTATGATAATGAATATATCATCCCTCGTCCAGAGGAGAGCCAGTGGGCTAAGAATATTGATATGTTGCTGGAAGGTTCGACATGCTGGCAATATCTTGTAAAGCTTATTAGGGGACTCAGGACTGAGGAAGGTACCAACGCACTGCAGAAGCTGGTCGTCCTCTCAGAGTTTCCCTCTTCGGCTGTGGTTCTCTATCTGGTACGTCTTCTTCTTTGCTTGTTCTGTCCACTAGATGAGTATAGCTAACACCTGTAGAAAGTAACAAAGCCAATGATATAGGTGACAATTTAGCCAGTATACCTGAGTGTGCTTCCGTTGTCTCTCGCCATCCGGATACGCCGGTTCTATGGAGCCCAGCCCTGGCACAGCTAGTATGTCTGACTGCTACGATACACAAGCACTCAATCGTCACGCCTTGCTCTCTGATCTCATCTACAAAACAGTGTCCAAAACTCTGGAAGGGCATATGATTTAAGACATGTGGACTTATAAGCGCCAAATCGAAGATTGGTCAAACCCAGCGCAATCTCGACCTGATTGGAACTGTCAGTGAGCTCGAAGATCTGACTTCTACGCACCCAGTAGTTACGTTGAACTCTAACACTTGCTACATCACGAGTCAAGATGAAAACGTCGCAGTATCATACGATGGAAGAGACAATCCTACGCTGAGTACTCAGCCTGCGAGCTACGCTGTGGCCGTGCGAAAATCTCCCCCAGACGGGCTGGGTATTCTGAGAGATCTATTGTCAGGAACTTGGGAATGTTTTCGTCCTTCCCCTCACCATTTTAGATATACTCGTCAAATAGCGCCAATATGTGAGCGTTAGGCGGCTTTCACGTCTACTAATTGACCCAAAATCTGGAACGGGAATGCGAAGCCCGGTGCTAAGTCTGACGAACTCATTCGACCGACTCTACAGGCCTGCAGCGTCTAGATACCAAAGAAAGTAGGCTAGATGCTGTGGAATATCAGTGCCAAACCTGAGTGAAGAAGTCGGGAATAACAGACCCGGATCATCCCAGGATGAATGGAAAGTATAACGGAAAAGTGCTTCGCTGCCAACTGGTTGCTGTCACCGGCTGGCGGAGATCCTTCTGCGGTGCCTCATGCTGGGCATCATGTTAGCTGTCTATCAATACAGGACAGACTCAGGAAACGGTCTTTTACTCCTTCATATGAAGATGAATGGTTGATGGTTGATAGCGGATGCTGTTAACGATCTTGATGCTCGAATTAATACTCATCATGCTCAGTCCTGAAAAATCAAGGACGGAATGAAACCAACGGACTTGGGTCTGTGATAATGCTTCATCAATCAGCGTCAATGCCATATTTCATCCTCCCACGTCACTCGCTGGCGCTGATGACCTTCAGGTCATGGAGACATGCGCAGAGGCTCTGGGATTGTCCGGGTGTCTAGACTATCTTGATTTGAGGTCCATAATGGCCCATCATGAAAGAGAACTGGATTCAGAGATGGCTTGGACAGTGTGGAAGCCCAAATCTAGGATTGGTCTACTGGGGAGTGTCACTACCCTACTTTGCAGAAGGGAGTTTCTGTTTTAAATGGGGTGTGTGGATGTCTTTGCCCCCTACACATTTCCTATTGCAACAGCTCGAGAAGCAGCAACTGATGGTGGAGGAAATTTGATGTTTCTGTTTCAAAACAGTTACTATCAGTTGTTTTTAACATTACTGATGGTACTAGTATTCAGTTCCTCACGTACTTACAAAGACTGAAGCGATTACCATCTGATATTTATCGTAGTTGACATCAATTAAGACCATACTCCCATACTACCAAGTACCAAACAGCCATCCCGTCCAATAAAACACATACAATAGAAAGCTATACCCAATAGATAACAGAAAAATATCCTTCACAAATTCAACAGACAATAAGAAACAGAAGACAACTGAACCATAACATGAATGACCTCACTCACCTCCCGCCCTACCCTGTGCCCCACCACCCACCATTCACACCGTAACCGACCCCACTCGAACCACACCACAAACCCCCTTCAGTCAAATATAATTTGCTCAGAACCACAAATCTCCAACAACGTCCGATGTGGTGTAATGGCTAACATCGCTGTCTCTCACACAGCAGCTCGGGGTTCGATTCCCCGCATCGGAGATGCTTTTTTCATTCTCATTCCTTTTCTCTTTATTTTTTGTACATGTTTTGTTTGTAATTTTTGCTTCTGGTTGATCGTCGCTGTTTCATGATATAATTTATACTATATATATATATATATATTATTTTTGGATGCTTACTTAGTTTGGGTTTCAGCCTCACTTCAATGTTTGTATGCATACTGCTGGGCTGTTTTGGGATAGTTTTCATACTGTGTTCAACTATCTGCTACATTGGATTTACTAGGGTATTAGATTCTAGGTGTAAGGATGGGAAGAGGGAAGGAACGCAATCAATGCATGATGATATTCATACAACCATAACGCCATTAAGCCATAAAAATATGAAAGAAGTAATAATGTACTCCGATGATCGAATCCCAGCTCGATTTAACATCTTCCTCTTATCATATATCCACATCCATCCATCTACTCATCCCACTCGTCCAACACATCGTCCTACAGCTTCGACTCAAGCACTAGCACTCCTCTTCAACCCCTCCTCCACCTCACTCAACAACCCCAAAAGCTCCTTCCCACCCTCACTAACCCTCCCCTCGATCTCCAACCCCTTCTCAACCATCCCCTTGGCCTCCTCCCATCTCCCCATCTCCACCAAACACCTCCCACCCCTCCACCAAGCCTTCACATTCGCCACAGGCTTACTCTCAACACTACATCTCGCATCGACCAACCCCTCCGGCCACGCGCGCTGGCTCATCCACGCCTGCGCCCGATTCGCATACAATCCCGCCAACTCGTCCCTCGCCAGCGTGACAGGTTCCCAGCCGGGGCGGCCCAGCGCCATGTCAATGGCGTATGTGTAGAGACGGACCGCCTCGGCGTGGTTCGACTTGCGGTATGCCGTGTTGGCGCTGTCGCGGAGCTTGGTGATTTGGGCGCTGCGCTTGGGGTTGATGGGGAGCGGAGGAGGGGGGATGTTAGGCGGGTCGAGGGAGATGAGCGAGCGGTGCAGGGCGTTGAGGTGTGTGAGTTCGGTGGTTATTGTGGCGGTGGAAGTGGGGAGCGTGGTGGTGTTGGTGGTGTTGAGGGAGATGGATTTGCTGGTTGGGTCCAGGTGGAGGGGGTATTCGGTGAAGAGGTCGACGGAGGCCATTTTGTACCTTTCTTATCGACTTGTGTGTGGTGGTGGTGGGTATATTTTTCGTAGTTGTGTGAAGAACTTGTTTAGCTAGATACTACCTATCTAGATAGATATCGTGTGTAGTTTCAGATTTCGGTGTGACCCAGAATATGGTCTGTGCGGCGGTTGTTAGTGGTTTCGATTATATTGGGAGGGTTCATTGACTCACGTTCAGATATAGGGGTATTATTAGGGGACACGCGGGAACGACCTGTTGGATTGATTGATTGAAGAACAGGCGTATGGGAGATGACAGCACTGTAGGAAGAAGCAAGCTGGACGCAAGTTGTCCAGTCCTGCGATAAGTCTCGGGCGGTGGCAGAATTGCCGGCATAATGGTTTGTGGCGGTCAGTCACCGGGTAATTATTTTGCAGATTGCATCGTTATCGCATTCTTGACTTTGATGAGATATGTAATTGTCTCTTCTAACTGCTTCATTAGTTGCACGGGCTTAATTTTAGTGGAGCATCTATGAGATTATTTCACCTTCCATGGGACAATCTTTCCGCGCTATACTCGGTAATTGATGCATTCGTTCGGAGTTCTAATGTATACCCTCTACTATAGTACTGGCAATAGTTCCATACTGCGCACCAGTATATCAATCCAAAATGTTAGAATGGCTATAAACCGTCGCTTCAAGCACACGGATGTCCCTACACAGTAGACTTCTATCTATGTAGGCACTTGTATCTGCCCTTCTAGGAAAAGCGTCGGTTGGGAATCCACAGCAACCAAACACCAGCCAATCAAGGTAAACACAAAGCAAGCAAGTCAAATGCAGTCCATTGTAGGAGATGTGGATCTATGGGAGGTTAGTTTTTCGATTAAACGGATGGTTTCGTGGCTTGTAGAATTTGATGATTGATTTGGGGATGTTGTGAGTGGAGTACTTGTGGACAAAGAAGGGTGTCATGTGCGGAGATTAGTTCTCTGTCCAGGCAGAGTAGTGAATGATAGTTGCAGGTATAGACATCAAAGTATAGAAAATGTCAAGATTCGACTACTAATCAATCATCCAGCAGTAGAGGTGGAAAAAGCAAGTCTGCATGGATTTTAAACCCTGCTTAGGCAATTGTCAGAGAATCAGCGTAGCCATATACATTTACACTTAATGCTATCTATGTCATAGTCCAACAGTGTCATCCAGATCATCAATAACCATGCAGACATAAGGTCCGATGCGAACACGTAAGGGACTTGTCCCGTCCAATCACAGCATACAGTCATCACCAGTGGAAACAGCAGACAGAAATGGGCAGTTGAAACTTCACGCAAAAAGTCAATCAAAAAGATAATACAGCACGAGTGCGCCCACAAACACCGCTCCATGGTCATTTCGAGAAGATAAACGCAGAAAACCGCCGCTAGCCACGCTCAGCGCCCATAGCCGCTAACACTAGATCCGAATTCGGACGCTCCTCCGTAATGTTGGCCGTGCGCACCGCCATAGCTGGTGTTATAGTCGTGGAGCACGCTTCCACCAGAGACCGTCGGGTCGTATGTGCCGGACAGCGCCGAGCGTGCTGCATGCGAGTTTCCAAACTCGTCCACCTCGCTCTGCTGCAGCAGAGCGTAGTCCTCGTCCCGGTCGCCACGGACAGAGGAGCCGATACCAGCACGGGAGCGGAAGTCGTCTTCTTCCTCCTCGAAATCATGGGCAGGGTTCGAGGAAAAGGCGGCTTTTGTCTGCGCGGCAAAGGTGGGATCGGAGACAGCGTCGGGCAAGGTTCCGGTGCGGCGGAAATGCGAGACATTGCGGAAGGACATGAAGGCAGTGACGCAGAAAAGCAGGCTTTTATGTTATTAGCACAGATAATGGGGATGCCATGGGTATACTCACAAGACAACAACGCCCAGAATAACAGTAGCTGTGCTGACCTTGCATTTACTTGCACTTCCGTAGGCCCAGTTATCGCATCCGCTTTTGCTGCTGCTGCTGCTGCTGGTGTCTCTTCTGCTCGACGAACTCGAGCTACTGCTGCTGGAGCTGGAGCTAGAATCGGAACTAGAGTCCGAACTTCCCTTGCTCTTACCCTCCGCCACATAGCTAGCCACACAAACCCAGGCAGAAAACCACAGAATGGCGTACAGGCAGTCGACGGTTGCGAAGGCATAAACGTTACCGAAGCGTCGCGCGCGGGGCCACATAGGCACGGCCACGAGGTAGATCAGACCGGGAATACTGAACCAGCACTAGAATGATTGAGAATCAGTACATGTCAACCAGGCGACAAGTGTGGGGATTTCAGTTATCGCAACGTACCAAAGCAAAGTACCAGGCGGAACGCCCATCAATGCCACCTCCCTTTGTGAAAACAGCGATGGTCAAGGCCCACGCCAGGAAGATGATGAACCCCTGGAACCCATGGATGAGGTTTTTCGTCCTCCCGGGGTTGAAAGAAGGTCGTGCGATTCTCATTGTGGGAGGAGGAAGAGGAGAAAGACGGAAGACGGGGAGCGGTGCCTGACGACAAAGGGCGCTTCCTTGTACGGAAGCGAAAGAGAGGATAGAGCGATCGGACTTTTATGTGAGGAATCA